GCCGCCGCCGCCGCGCCCGCCGCCGCCGCCGCCCGGAGAGGCCATCAGCTGCTTCCCGTCACATGGCGGCGGGCGCGGGCGGGGACGCGCGGGGGGCGGGGCCGGGGCGGGCTGGAGAGAACCCGGGAGCCGGGCTGCGGGACGGCGGGGGGCGGGCAGGTGGACGCCGGGCGGGAAAGGGTCGGCCCTGGGGGTGCGGGTGGGGGTGGGGGGGAACGGGGCCGAAGGGAAAGCGGGGGCGGGGCAGGTGGACGCGGGCAGGAGAAAAACCTGGGGTTTGGGGGAGCGGGGCCCGGGGAAAGTGGGGGGCAGGTGAAAACCCGGCGGTGGGAAGCGGAGCTCAGAGGAGAATGGGGGGTTATGAGGACAGACTATAACCTGGGGCGGGGGGTGCTGAGGGAAAAACCGGGGTGGGAGGCAGGCAGGTGAACGCGGGGAGGGGGTCGGGGAGCGGGGCCGAGGGGAAACGGGGGCCGGAGGGGGAAATGGGGGTGGGAGAACCAGGGGACAGATGGAGCGCCTCTGGTAGACCTGGGAGGAGCGGGGCTTAGGGGGAAAGGCGGGAATGGGGAGGATGGGAGGAACGGAGTGGGGGGCCAGGCGATGATCGGGGATGGAGGGAGGAGGTGTGGGTTTAAAACGGGGTGAGGTGAAGCTGAGGGGAAAACGAGGAAGGGGGTACGGAAAGGCACCGGGGAGCTGAGGAGAAAACGGGGGGAGATGGGACAGGGGGAAAATCGGGGGTGGGGGCGGACCAGGGCGGAAGGGGGACCTGAAGACGCCGGCGGTCAGGAGAATGGGGGAGACGAAAAGCGAAGACTGAGGAGAGAACTGGGGGGATGGGGTCCCGGAACCCCGGCGGGAGAGAAGAAATGAGGCAGAGGAGTAAAATTGGCAACCTGAGGCGGCGGGGAGCTCACAGGTTAAATGGGAGCCGCGGTAGAGGAATGAAGGGGCTGAGTAGGAGTAAAAGTGTAGGATGAGAGGAAGGCGTCAGCCGCCGTGCTTAAAAAATGGGAACCAGAAAAAAAAAGCCCACCGGAAAATGGAGGGTGAAAACATGAAGGTGCAGCGATTAAAAGGGGCGGAGAGCAAGGGGCAGCCAGCCAGAGAAAAAGAGGGTCAAAAGTGGTGGGAGGGTCCAGAAATGGACAAGCTGGGTGAACGTGGGTGCTACCGGGGAAGCCTGAGGGACAGCACGGAACAGAAGTGAAAACAGGCGAAGGTAAAATGAGGGGCTGGGAAAACAGAGACTTGGATTAAACACACACGGGACATGAAAATGGAGGGACTGGGTTAAAAAGAACATGGGGGACTTCCCTGGTGGCACAGTGGTTAAGAATATGCCTGCCAGTGCAGGGAACATGGGTTTGAGCCCTGGTCCGGGAAGATCCCACATGCCGCGGAGCAGCTAAGCCTGTGCGCCACAACTACTGAGCCCGCGTGCTGCAACTACCGAAGCCCACGCACCTAGAGCCCATGCTCTGCAACAAGAGAAGCCACTGCAATGAGAAGCCGGTGCGCAGCAACGAAGACCAAACGCAGCCTAAATAAATAAATTTATTTTAAATAAACAAACGTGAAACTGAGGTGAAGGTAGGAATCATGGGTTTGGTTAAAAAGGAAGGAAGTTGAAAATGGGACAGCTTTGATTAGAGCTTAGGAAGCTTGGAATGAAGTAAAGAAACGGGAGAGATGAATGACCCAAGAGAAAGGCCTAGAACAGGAACAGGGAGTGGAGTTGGGCCACCTCAAGTGGGAGGTGAGGTGACACATTCTGGTGACTACAATTAGCTGAACCCTGTGAGAAACTCCACCAACTGCTACAAGGACCCGACAGCTGATATAAATTGTCTTTTCAGACAGCCCATCAGTCTACTGCTCCATGACAACTCCTACCCTAGCCCTTTAATATTAGAAAGCATGCAATCTGACCAAAGAATTCCCTGGTGGTCCAGGGGTTAGGACCTCGCGCTTTCACTGCCAAGGGCACAGGTTCAATCCCTGCTCAGGGAACTAATATCCTGCAAGCCGCAGGGCATGGCAAACAGAACAAAAAACAATCTGACCAGGGACCTCCCTGGCGGCGCAGTGGTTAAGAATCTGCCTGCCAGTGCAGGGGACATGGGTTTGAGCCCTGGTCCAGAAAGATCCCACATGCCGTGGAGCAACTAAGCCCATGAACCACGACTACTGAAGCCCGCACACCTAGAGCCCGTGCTCTGCAACAAAAAGAAGCCACGGCAGTGAGAAGCCCGCGCATTGCAACAAAGAGTAGACCCTGCTCACCACAACTAGAGGAAGCCCACGCACAGCAACGAAGACCCAACGCCACCAAAAATAAATAAATAAAACAATCTGACCAAAAAGAGGCGTGTGTTTGAGGGTATGTAGCAAGAAAACAATGGAGAACAAATTTCTTGAGGAGTTTAGGAGAGATGAGAGGGTGGGTAGGATCTACAAGTCGTGGAAAAGAATAACACGGCAAGGAAGACAATATTGTTACCAATATTGGGAAAGCTAATTAAAAAAACAAAAATTGGGGGCAGCAAATCCACTTCCCCAAATCTTTCAGTTTATTAATCAGGTCTAAATGAAGATGACTAAAGCATTTATTTAAAAATAACTTTATTCCATTATCTTAAAAAAATCCATATTATAACCTCAGAATGAATTTCTCCCAACCTCGCCTCCACACCAATTATTAAAATGTAAATAATGCAGAGAGATCTGTTTCGTTCTTTTTGCAGCAGTTCCTGGCCAGGACCATGGTGAGAAATGCCGGTTGGCACATGTTGCATCATAATAAACTTTACCCAGCAAGGATGATTTTCCAGGTCTCAGTGCCTGGGTTAGGGAAATTTTCCATCATGGGCTTTCCTGCTGCAGTAATAGGGTTGGTGTGTGCTTGTGAGAATGGGAGCTGCTATCAAAGCCACAGGATTATGACAGCCCCTTTCCCAATGTCCACCAGGTTTTGAGGAAAAGGAATGTCAGTTGCGATGGCCTGGAAGTATTTATCTTCCTGGTTCTGGTAAGTATATCTCTTCATCTCCAGTTCACAATACATTCAGATAAGATTTTATTTTAAAGCACAATGTAACAAGTTGGACTTTGCCACAGAAAGTCTGTAACCTGCTGTCAACGTACTGGTGGAGTTGGGGATGGGTCATCTTAAAGAAAAGAAAAAAAGCCCTAATTCTTTAAAATCCTTAAAGCTTGAAGACCCCCCCAGTACCTCAGCTCTTAACTGACCCAGCAATGTTATCTGTGCACACAGGGCTCAGATATAAGTGACAACAATCACAGCTCAGCTGGACAAGGGTTAATAATGTTTGGCACCAAGACCCTGAAGCTCCCATTTACTAGTGGAAAAATCCTGCCTCGAAGATTTCCCTATCATTAGGTGTGCACGCAGGAGAAGAGGAAGTCGCAGGAAGCATCTCAGTGATCTTGCAAATCATTCTCTGCATTCCCAGCTAGGGATTTTTTTTTTTTTCCCCTAATAGTTTCTTTGCTTTTTCCCTTTTTAAGTATGGTTGCCTCTGCAGGGTGGACTGTCGGATCCAGAGACCAGCTCAGTGTGCAGTGAGTTTAAACACAACCTGTCAATTATCCGTTCTGAAATGACATTAACTTAGACTGGTTAGAGTGGTTAAGAATGTGAGGTTCCGGGCTTCCCTGGTGGCGCAGTGGTTGAGAGTCTGCCTGCTGATGCAGGGGACACGGGTTCGTGCCCCGGTCCGGGAAGATCCCACATGCCGCGGAGCGGCTGGGCCTGTGAGCCATGGCCGCTGAGCCTGCGCGTCCAGAGCCTGTGCTCCGCAGCGGGAGAGGCCACAACAGTGAGAGGCCCCCGTAACGCAAAAAAAAAAAAAAAAAGAATGTGAGGTTCCACGCAGCGAAAGACCCAGCCCAACAAGAGAACTGCAGGTCACAGCTATCCCTGACGGGTAGACATTGGAGCCAGCCTCTGACCTCCCCAGTGTTCTGAGCTGGGGACAGGGTTCACTTCTAGTGACTCCCTCAGTTTAGTTCCTTCATCCAAGAAAGTGGACCTGCTCCAACCACACCTGCAAGGTAACCCTGCAGGCAACACACTTCTCATCTTAGGAGTCCCAAGTCCTGTTATTGGAGAGGGAAGTTCTCCTTTAAGTCGTGCCCATCAGAGCAGGATATGCAACATTGAAGAGTGCAAATTCAAGTCAGATTTTCAAGTTTAGCACACATATTTTACACCCTTAGAAGGTCCCTGACATTTAAGAGATTAGGATGAAATTAGAAAGAAAAAAAAATCTCTAAACTGTACAGGGAACAGCAGCAGCTTAAACTCATCATATGTTATTTTCATTCAAAACTTAGCATTATTGAGCAGCGTATCTTCCTTAAGAAGTAGGAAGGAAACAAGCTTTCCCATTCCCATTTCCAAGATCAAGAAACCGAGGCCAGACGAACTGATCTACTCTGTTACAAAACATTTCTCCTTGCCTTTTTCAAAGCCACAGGAGAAAGGAAGGATGGGAAAGTCTGAAAGCTAATAGTGCATCACCTAAGAGGCTTTTCTAAACACGAAGCTCTGGAAAATGCGAGATTCTAATGAAAGGCACTTCCTCTTATCAGCCCCTACCTCTTTTGAAAAGAATTCTATCTCCAGGGAGGCAAAAATCCCCAGGAGAGCTCTGATGATGCCCTGGTCTGGAATATTCTACAGAGAATGGAAGGCCCAGGCAGCAGTTTGTAACTGAACAGTTGACATTTTTCTTCTTCCGCTAAGGAAGGCAAAGGAGAAGATAACTAATATCTACGGAGCACCTCCGAGGCACGCTCACACCCTGAAGTACCTTGGTCCCCACCATAGCCCTGTAAGATAGGTGTGATTTCACCCATTTCACAGATGAAGAAATCGAGGCTCAGGACCTGCCCAAGCCCATGAAACAGGTAAGGAGCAGAGTCCAGATTCAAGACCAGGTGTTTCCGACTCAAAACCCGAACCAAAGTGCCTCCCTCGGATTAGGATCAGTAGCTGACCCCCTTCACCTTTTCCAGAGAGCTGATGTGTGCCTGGTTCCTCAGCTCACCGGGGCAGTGAAAAAGGAAGTGTCCTTATCACCCCACAGTATTCCCTTGTGTGCTGGGGCGAGCTGGTTACAGACTTTAACAGTGACAAAGGGCGCCGAGGCCAAGTACCTCCCCCATCTCATCATCAGTCAACCTGGAGAAAGCCAGGGGCACAGCGACAGGGGCACCTCAGATACCAAATGCAGCTTTCCCCCCAACACTGCCCGTTCCAAAGCTTTTCAGCATTGTTGAGAAAACTTACAGTAAATCAAACCAATTTAGAAAAAAGAAGAAAAAGGGAAGGAAAGATGTGTGTGTGTTTTCCTTTTTTTTGCTGAGAGCCACAAACCGTTTTCAGCCCTCAGGCAGGGACGCAAGTCAAGTGAAGCACAATATAAAACTCATCTTCCACGTAGCTTTCCAAGGTTTTGAGACAGGATAACAAAGGACAGTTGTCTTCCTCAAACTGGCCTGTCTTCTTCTTGAATGATGTCACTCTGCTGCTCACTGCTGTCATCTGTACAGGAGGGAAAAGTAGACCCAACTCTGAGTAATCTCAATAGGGGCGACTCTGTTTCTGTATCAGTTTTCTTTTCTTTTTTTTCTTTTTTCTTTTGGCCACTCCATGTGGCACGTGGGATCTTAGTTCCCTGACCAGGGATTGAACCCATGCCCCCCTGCAGTGGTAGCGCAGAGCCCTAACCACTGGACTGCCAGGGAATTCCTCCCCCCTGCAATCAGTTTTCAATTACCTCTATTTCTAGACCTTTACTGATGACTTGGTGGAGGAGCAGGTGGGGCAGGGTGTGTATCCCCGCTTTTACCTGTTCTTTCCACTCAAAATCCTCTGACATGCTTGACACTGCCCACCCTTCACACTCTTGGTTTCTGCCATTCCCCTCGCCTGGACCACCCCTCCTTTCTGCTTACGCAAACTTAGCTGTCCTGAAAGACGTGCCTCATAGTCCACATCTTCCATGAAACATCTCCCAACCAGTGCACCCCTCAGGGCTCTCATCTTTCTCCTGAGGTTCTGTGATTTGTAAACGTACCATTCATCAGGCAAGGAATCAGATTCCTTCTTGCCAAAGCTCCTCTACTGCTCTCGCAGAGGGTTGGTTAAATCTTCCTTCTGTTTTCATTTCCCCCTCGTGTTTTAGTCTGTTCGCCCTAACTGGTCTCGTAAAGCCCTTTACCATCCGTCTTTCTTTTCTAGTGCCTGACAGTACCAATCTGTGCCTTTCCCAGAGCAGGCCCTTGATAAATATTTGTCCATTTAATTAGCGTGTAGGTAGTTGATAGGAGATTCTCAGATTCTAGATTAAACTTTAACTGTCTTTCCCAACCTTTAAAAGACAGACCCTTGGAGATTTCTTCCGGGGAAGCCCCCCACAACCTCGCAGAGAGCTTCTAAGGACAAAGAGCTTACCCTGCAGAGCCTGGAGTCCATTGGCCATCCGGTCCACATTCCCATTCACCAGTGCGGTCACTCTGTGGATGTGGCCGTACTTGGTTACTTCTTTTGGAGACTCCTCCCTCTCACTTGCTTCCTCCTCTTCCTCTTCTGCAGCATCTTCCTCTTCCTCCACCTCTTCCTCTTCTGAATCCACCAAAACCATGACATCACCCATGTCTTGCCTCCTAATTTCCAGAAGGGGAGAAATAATCAAAAAGATACCCTGTTTTCTCCAACTTCAGCCCTCGCTGAATAGGAAACACTTGGTTCTTTGCAGCCCCTTTGGTAACATGGAAAATTCTTCACGTATTCAACTTGGTTGAGTCGTGAGATGACAGTGCGACTGTAACCTCGCAGAGAGATGCTGCCGAAGATTTGTCTAGATAATTGTATCTTGTGCTGGGTGAGTTTTAGCGCTCCACCTCTCCCCACCCTGCTGCTTCTCAGGCAGATGACCTCATTGTCCCAAGCACCCACCATTTCAGCTCCCCTCACAGCACGTACACAGACACTCTGTTCCTTTCCTGAAATGCCCTTATTTCTCCTGCACTTACTGAAATTTCTCCACCTTGTCATTATTCAAGGCCCAAGTAAAATCCTCTGCCTCCCCCTGAAGCCTTGAACTATGACTGAATTTGGCGTCCACGGCCAGCGGTTTGGCACTGAATTGTTCTCTAGTTTGTTGCTAGTTCTGCCTGCCCAGCCAGACTGTACATTTCACGGGCCAGTCACAGTCCTAAGAGCATCGCATTCTCATTTAATCCTTACAGCCCGCCTCTGAGAAACAGATGAGGAGACAAAGGCTCAGAGAGGGTCAGGGATTTTCCAGGAGCCACGGGCTTGAAGGGCAGAGCTGCCATGTGAACCCAGGTCCATTCATTCCAAAGCCTTTTCCCATTATGCCAAGCTGCTCCCTTCTGTGAAAAATAAGCCTGGGGAATGACAGATTCATTCCAGAATGACCCTCAAAAACAGGGCTGTAAAGATAACACTTTCCGTTGAAAGATCGTCCCAGAACAATAAAATCCCCTCATTATGAACGATGGTCCCAGAACAATAATACCCCATAGTTATAAATGGATAAGAGGAGCAAAGAGAAGAGTTCTTTGCTCCCACCCAGAATCTCCTTAGGAGGCTAATACATAAGTTCCATTTAGTTGCTTTGCCCCTCCTGAGGTTTCCTTTGGGGAGGGGCTTCTGGGCATGCTCAGACTAGTCTTCCAAAACATGCTGTGAGACTATGACTTCTTCTTCCTTTTAGAAAAGGAAAACTAAATAAAACAAATGCATGAATGACTGGGCTCAACATGTACATGCTGTCTTTATGCCTCAGTGACAGTCCAGCAATGTGCCTGGCCCTGAGGTCTGGCGTTGTACAAAGAGCACAGACTTTGGAATCGGGTCAGGCCCAGGTCTGACTGCAGGCACGGCAGCTCACTCCCTGGATGAGCTTGCAGAAGCGGCTTTTTGCTTCCCTGAGCCTCCCTCGACTTGTCTGGGACACGGAGACAAGAGCAGTACCCTGAAGAATTTATGACGGGGTTGTAATAATGCGTGAAGAAGCACCAGCCCCGTGTCTGGCCTGTGGTAGGTCCCCAGTGGCGGTGGTCATTATTGTTCTTATGAAACGTTATAAACAAAACCTCAGTGAAGACATCATGGAAATAGATTTTTGATTTGAGTCTAGGGAACACTCACCTGAAAGTGCTTCCTACTGAAAGGAGAAAGGAAAAAACATTAATATCCAATAATATCCACTTCGGCCTCACAGAAATTTCTAATCAATCTAACATTTACAAAAGAATGGACAATGAGAAAACTGACCCAACACGAGAGATGACAGGGTATTCAGGCATGGTTCTTAGGTGCTTCATTATTGCACATCTGCACCCAATTTGGAAACCTCTCGAATGGAGCTTCAGGTGGGAGCATAACAGGGGCCACCTTCCCCCACCCACACCCTCTCAAGAAGCCTGAGAGAGAAGCAAAGGGACCCAGGAAGCCCTTACCGTTCCGGGAAGCCCTTACCTTTCCAGCAGAACACAGGGCTGTAGTACAACAGAAGCCCAGAGATAATGGCCAGTCCCAGCAGAAGGAGGCTCACGATGGTGCCCACAATTCCCCCAATGTTTACAGGTTCTGCAAAGACAAATCATACCCTTGACTCGGCCACATGATACAAACAGCTAGGAGGGCAATACCTCCCCTCCTCTGCCTGGATCCTACTCTTATCTCGGTTTCATGACCTTGGGCAAGGCATATGACCTCTCTGCAGAGCAAGATAAAGATCTCATTTTTCTACTTCAGTTTGTGGGAATCAAACAAAGCCTGTGATGCAAAAGAATACTGGAGGGAGGCGTGGTGATGGGATGAACTGGGAGATTGGGATTGACATATATACACTCATATGTATAAAATAGATAACTAATAAGAATTAGTTATATAAAACTAATTTTATATAAAAATATAAAATTCAAAAAAAAAAGTAAAAACAGAAAAAAAAAAAGAAGAACATTGAAAAGTTAAAATCTCTGTGTCTCCACCCATCAAGACTGCTGTTAAGGTCATAGTAATTAAGAGTGTGAGTTATTGGTGCCACCACGAAGTGATCAATAGAACACAATAGGGAGGGTCTTCCCTGGCAGTCCAGCGGCTAAGACTCAGCGCTTCAGGACTTCCCTGGTGGCGCAGTGGTTAAGAATCCGCCTGCCAATGCAGGGGACATGGGTTCGATCCCTAGTCGGGGAAGAGCCCATATGCCACAACTAAGCCCGTGAGCCACAACTACTGACCCTGCGCTCTAGAGCCTGCAAGTCACAACTACTGAAGCCTGCGCGCCTAGAGCCCGTGCTCCACAACAAGAGAAGCCACCGCAGTGAGAAGCCTGCTCGCCATGACTAGAGAAAAGTCCGTGCGCAGCAACGAAGACCCAATGCAGCCAAAAATAAAAAATAAATAAATAAATGAATTTATTAAAAAAAAAAAAAGAAAGACTCAGCGCTTCCACTGCTAGGAGCACGGGTTTGATCCCTGGTCGGGGAAACTAAGATCCCGCATGCTGCTTGGGACGGCCAAAAATATATATATATATTTAAAAAAAGAGAACAGAATAGGGAATCCAAGAACAGGTCCACACACAGAAGGAAACTTGATATAAGACAGACTAGTGAGTAGAAGAGGAACTCTTCAGGATGTGGTGCTAGACCAAATAGTTATCCAAATTGGGGGGTGGAGGAAACTTGATGTCTACCTCACATCATTCACAAAAATCAATTCTAGATGGACTAAAGAGTTAACTATGAAAGGCAAGTGTTAAAACTTTAAGAAAATATGGAAGAATACTTTCATGACCATAGGATAGATAAGGATTTCTTAAGACACAAAAATTGCTAATGATATAAGAACAGATTCATAAAGTCAACAACATTAAAGTAAGAATGCCTGCAAATCGAAGGATACCATAAAGAAAACAAGAAAGACAACTGAAAGGAGATATTTGTAGCATGTAAAACTAACAATTAGCATATGGAATTTCTAAAGAACTCCTATATATCTATAGGAAAGGGGAAAACGTCAAAAGACACAATTATGTATTTCGCAGATGAAACATAAAGAGCAAATAAACATATGAAATAATGCTCAGCCTTCTTAGCAATCAGAGACATTCAAATTAGAACCACAGTGAGATTTCATTTTACACCTACTTGATGGGCAAAAATCACAAAGTCTGTGGGTGAAAATGTGGAATGACTGCTGTTGCAAATGGAAATTGGTATAACCACTCTGGAAAATAATTTGATGTTATCTCACAGATAAAAATGCACATAACCTAACCTTCATTTCTACTCCTTGTACAAATATTCTAGAGAAATATTTGCCTGGGGACCTGGGTATATGTACACAAGGGGCTGGTAAAAAGGTTTCCATAGCAACACGGTTTGTTCATCGCAACAAAAAAATCAGAAGCAGCACAGACATCCATCAGCAGGAAAATCAATAACTTAGTTGTGGAGTAGTGATACAATGGAAAATTATACAGCAGTACAGAGGTACAAAGTATAATTATACACATCAGCAGGAATAAATTCTGGAAACAAAATGTGGGATAAAAAAGGCAAATTACAAAAGACTACACTTGTATGGTAACAGCCATTTTTCAAAACTCTAAAACAAACAATATATTATGTAGAAATGTGTACGTATGCAGCATATTTTTTCTTAAATAAAACATGAAACTCAGGATAGTGGTCACCTTTTTCAGAAGGCCCAGGATAAGCCTGGAAACGGGCCTACAGGTAGGGTTGCCAGATAAAATACTGTGTGCTCACTTAAATTTGGATTTCAGATAAGCAATGAATATTTTTTTTAGAATAAGTATGTCCCAAGCAATACTGGGGACGCACATTAAAAAAAAATTATTATTTGTTTTTCTGAAATACAAATTTAAGTGAGCATCCTGTTTTCTTAGCTGGTCACACTAGCCACACTCTCTGCAGGTAATTCCAGCAGTGTTGGCACTGTTCTATATCTTAAGTGGGATGTTAGTTTCCTGGGTGTTCATTTTGCTATTATGTTTCTCAGCTTACATTTTATATATATATATATATATATATATATAAATTATATCTATTTTATACATGTATGTATTTTATTTTAATATATATATACTTTTTTTCCTTTAGGGTGTAACAGATATTAAATAACTTTTTTATCCCTATACAAATGTTAGAGATTTAGGACTGGACAATAATTCTCCCATCCACCTTGTCAAGCCACAGGGAAGCAGACAGGCCTTCTCCCAGATGGCAGTGACCCACATGTAGGGAGGCACCAAGCTGTCCCCATGATGATGCCAGGTCCTCTGAAGCTCTCGGCCCTCCTCCTCCTCCGGGGCCACTTCACTCACCTTTCACGCTCAACCAGATGTCCACCTCCCTCACCCCCACGGGGTTCTCAGCCCGGCAGACATAGTAGCCCTCGTCCAGGTCCTGGGAGCAGTTGCGGATGGTGAGGGTGGAGCTCTGGCCACTCTGGGTGATGAGGTGGTGGCTGCTGGGCTGGATGATGACCTCCGGCTGGGTGAGGTTGCTCAGCCACAGGATCTTGGCAGGGGGGTAGGCTCCAGACACTTCGCAGGTGAGCGTCACATTGCCTCCCACGAAACAAGTCTTCATGGGCTCAGAGAGAAGGGAGGGGCTCCCTGACCATCAGAAGAAGGTAAAGAAAGACAAACGTTGAAGGAGATTCAATCGGTGGTCTGAGAATTTCAAGAATATTACTTCTTCCAAACAAAGCAACTCCAGGAACTTCTGTACTGCACCTGGTCTCATATAATAATAAAAGCTAATATCTGCTGAACATTCAACGGGCTAGGCACCATTCTACTTATTAACCCAATTAATAATTCTCACAACAATCTTGTTATCCCCATTTTGCAGATGGGGAAACTGTGGCACAGAGAAAGTTAAGTAACTTACTCAAAGTCACATGACTAAATAAGTGAGCAGCTAGGATTCAGGGGGAACAAATGTCCTGGTTTGTGTAAGGCTGAGGGGGTTCCCAGGACCTGGGGGCTTTCAGTGCTAAAACTGGTGAAGTCCCGGGCAAACCAGGATGAGTTGGTCACTCTATGTAAGAATGGAACCCAAGGAGTCACGCTTTTGTGGTCCACATCTCCTTACTTCTTATGCTGTAAGCTTCTATGTATAATAACCATACTGATGAGATGAGATATGGGCACACAGCCTGACAAGGGTGTTCCAGGGGACAGAAGGCAGCTGTATTAGTTTCCTGTTGCTGCTGTAACAAATTGCACAAACTTAGCAGTTAAAACAACACAAATTTATCCTTTTATAGTTCTGGAGGTCAGAAGTCCGAAATAATCTTGCAGAACTAAAATCAAGGTGTTGGCCAGAGCTGGTCTCTTCTGGAGGCTCTAGGTGAGCATCCATTTCCTTGTTTTCTCAGCTTCTAGAAAGGAGCCACCTGCATTCCTTGGCTTGCAGTCCTTTCCTTGAATTACTCCTACCTCTTGCATCTGTCATCACTTCTCACTACTGCATGTGACCCTCCTGCCTCCCTCTTATAAGGACCCTTGGGATCACACTGGGCCCACCCAGATAACCCAGGACACTCTCCCCATCTCAAAATTCTTAATCACAGATGCAAAGCCCCTCTACCATGTAAGGTAACATTATCACAGGTTCTGGGGATTAGGATGTGGACATCTTTGGGGGGCCATTCTTCTGTCTAGCACAGGTCTGTCCTAGAAAACTCAGAATGTGGCGTCCCTGTGGCCTTGGGGTCTGATTTAAGTGGGACACAGGGAGCTATGAGGTCTACTATGGCTATCTACTTGTATACTTTGCAAGAGAAGCCTTTTCCCAAAATGCACACCCTCTTGGGAAGGGTAGCAAATTCATCTTGGGAGGATTTATGAAATCCATATTTTCAGCAGCTGAGGGATACAGAGCAGCATGTTGGGTTCCTGCCCTGGAGAGTGAAACTACACGCTTCCCCTTGGCCGTTGTTCCAAGAGAGAAACTAGGGTTTCACTGCTGGCATCTGCGGAAGGGGCAAGGGGCAAGGGGATGGGGGTGGAACAACCCAGAAGCCTCTCTCTCTAGGTCAGGTTAACAGAAGAGAATACCCCAAACCTGGTTTTGCTCAGAAAACTCACCTGCGGACACTCCTTCTTGGATCAACTGTCAGATTCCCCCCATGTTGCTAAATCACTCCTTCCCCACTTTATGGTTAACCAGAATTTCCTTTAGGGTCACAAAGCCAGCAGCAGTGACAAGCCTCATCAGTATGGCTGTATTTGGGGGTCCCAAACCAAAGTGTGGTAAATGGCCCCCTCCTCCTTTATTAAAAGCAAAACAAACAATTCCCCCAGTGCACCTCCCCTGAACCCCAAACAAACATCATGTACTTTTGCCAGACACAGCACTCGCCCCTCAGACAGCTGTGTCACCATCCAGCTAGTGTGGCACCTATAAATTCAACGAGTTTCACTTAAAGGGATACTGCGTCAGGGGTGGGGCAGGTGCTGCTGGGCCCTCACAGATCTGCAAGAGGCGGACCACATGCTGGGGCGGGGCTCCATAACAGTAACACCGCAGCTTATCGTAGGCTGAGTTGGCGTCTTCAGTTTAGAGGCTACACACCATATAAAGAGAGATCTGGGGAGTTCCCTGGTCGTCCAGTGGTTAGGACTTGGTGCTCTCACTGCCGGGTGGCCCAGGTTCAATCCCTGGTCGGGAAACTAAGATCCCACAAACTGCGTGGCACAGCTGAAGGAAAGAAAGAAAGAGAGAGAGGGAAGGAGGGAGGGAGGAAGAGAGAGAGAAAGAAGGAAGGAAGGGGAGGGAGGGAGGGAGGAAGAAAGAGAGAGAGAGGGAGGGAGGGAGTGAGGAAGAAAGAGAGAAAGAGAGAGAGAGGGAGGGAGGGAGGGAGAGAGAGAGAGGGAGGGAGGGAGGGAGAGAGAGAGAGAAAGAGAGAAATAAGGAAGGAAGGAAGGAAGGGGAGGGAGGGAGGGAGGAAGAAAGAGAAAGAAAGGAAGGAAGGAAGGAAAAGAAATGAAAGAAAGAAAAAAAGGTAGATAGATAGATAGATAGATCGATCGATCTGGGCAGCAGGATTCCCCAAAAGCATCACTTTTCATCAGCTTGGGGGCTACACTGCCCTGGATCCCTGAGGTGGACGTTAGCATTACACTTCAGGGTCGTACTAGTCCTTTCAAGTGGAATGATCCAGACACCCCTCGCCTGCAAGGGCCTTGCTACTCAAGGTGTGGTCTTCGGACCAGCAGCATCAGCACTTCCTGGACACAATTAGAAATGCAGATATTGTGTCCACCCAGACCGAGAGAGTCAGAACCTGCATTTTAACCAGACCCCCCAGGTGACTTGTATGCACATCCAGGCTCGAGTGCCCAAGAGGGAGGCGGGGAGAACTGGACGGCGTCAGAGTCCGAGAAGGGCCCAGGCTCTGTGCTTGCTTCCTGTGCTCCTGGAATTGGGAAAACTTCTGGTCAGCTCCCTTCTGCAGACACATTTCTTAACCCTGAGCACATATTTAGATTCAAATTATTGGTCAAGTCTCAGGGGTCACAGGAATAAAGACTTAGGCAAGATCTGCAAATAAAATGGAAGGGTAAGGGCGAAATAACACAACCCCACCAGCTGCCTCTGCTAATTTCACCCTCTCTCAGCATCGGTCCATCATTTATTCACTTCCTGGGACTTACTGTCCATAACACACTTCAGACATCCTCATTATGTACCACTCTGAGTGTGTATACTGCTTTCTATTTGCAGTCTGGGCAAGTCGGCTGCCTCTGTTTCACCATCAGTAAAATGGAGCGTCCTCCCCAAACTCATGTCCACCTAGAACCCCAGAATGTGATCTTATTCAGAAATGGAGTCTTTGCAGATGTAACTAGTTAAGGTAAGGATCTCAAGATGAAATCATCCTGGATTGAGGGTGGGCCCTAACTCCAAGGACTGGTATCTTATAAGAAGAGGAGAGGCCACAGGGAGACATACACACAGAGGGGAAGGTCACATGAAAACAGATGCAGAGACCAAAGTGATGCAGCCACAAGCCAAGGAACACATAGAGCCGTGAGGAGCTGGAAGAGGCCAGGAAGGATTCTCCCATGAAGACGCTGATGGGAGCACGGCCCTGCCGACACCTTGATTTCAAACTTCTAGCCTCCAGAACTGAGACAGAATAAACGGCTGTTGTTTTAAGCCACCAAGTTCGTGATACTTTGTTACAGCAGCTCCAGGAAACTAATTCTGAGGGATAATACGAGCTCTCAGCTCACAGGGTGATTGAGGACTGAACGAGATACTGTGTGCAAAACACTTGGCACCTGCACTCTATCTGCACTCAGTAAATGTTAATGTCACCATCGCAGTTGACCCTTGAACAACATGGGGGTTGGGGGACCAACCTGGGAGAAATCTAAAAATCCACGTCCTGCTCTCTCTGCCTCAGAAGCAAAGGAATTGATAAATGACTCGCCCAAGGACAGGAAGCTGAAACAGTTTGGATAGAATCAGGACTCAAACCCTAGTTCTTTTGATTCTATATCCTGTGATCTCTAATCAGACACAAACTTTTCCCCACAGTGAGTTAATTTAAATATCTGTTAAGTGAAAATACAGATACAACATTTATTGAAAAAAATTCGCATGTACGCGGAACCGCGCAATTCAAACCTGTGGTGTTCAAGGGTCAGTTGTATTTGTGATATTGTCATTTCCTGCTCCACATTGGCCAGACTTCTCTCTCCAAGTAAAGTTTAAGTCCTTTAAAGGCAAAGACTTTGTATTCCTCCACAGTACCTGGAACCATGCTGAGCACCTAAATCCTACCCAAAAAGATTTGCTAGATCATGTGTGGAAGGTCACCAGGAAAGCAATCAGCACTACCTGGATAAAAGCAAGGGCGCTGGGGTCAGACCAGCCTGGCTATGTGTTGGCTCCGTCACTTACGAGCCAACTGATCTTGGGTAAATTAGTTCCCACATGTTATCATCTGCAACTTACCAATCATTCTAATTTGCAGGCTACTGTGAGGATTACAAAGAGTAAGTTAATAAGAAAGAGTCAAAGACCATCTGAGCGCAGCAACCTCAAAGAACAGGACTGAGAGGGGACTTCCCTGGTGGTCCAGTGCTTAAGACTCCGTGCTCCCAATGTAGGGGGCCCGGGTTCGATCCCTGGTCAAGCAACTATCAATAGATCCTGCACGCTACAACTAAGACCCTGTGCAGCCAAATAAATAAATAAATGAATATTTATTAAAAACAAAAAAAACGGTCTTCCCTGGTGGCGCAGTGGTTGAGAGTCCTCCTGCCAATTCAGGGGACACGGGGGTTCGTGCCCCGGTCCGGGAAGCTCCCACATGCCGCGGAGCGGCTGGGCCCGTGAGCCACGGCCGCTGAGCATGCGCGTCCGGAGCCTGTGCTCCGCAACGGAAGAGGCCACAACAGTGAGAGGCCCGCGTACCGCAAAAAAAAAAAAAAAAAGAACAGGACTGACAGAGGTGAACATTTCAAAATCAGAAACTGCTCATCACTAGCAGAAATGTGGTTTAGGAGCCAAATATGCCAGAAAAATATCTATAACGTGCATGACAGTTCTATGAAATTAACTGACTCTTATGGAATAATAAGAAAAGATGAACAAGCCAATAGAAAAATGGACAAAATATGAACAGATAATTCACAGACAATATATAGGAAGTCAGTACGCATATGAAAACTATCAACTCCACCAGCGATCAAAGAAAACCAAATGAAAACAATATGCCATATCCCAACTAGCAAACAGGAAAAAACTAAAAATTTAATAACACTCGATGTCGGTGGAGATACTGGGAAATGAGAGAGAGTGACTGCTAGGGTTTCTTTTGGGGGTGATGGAAATATTCTGGATTAGAATGGTGATGGTAGTATAACATTGTGAACATACTAAAAAAAAAAACAACAATGAATTATAAACTCTAAAATAGTGAATTTTAGGGAATTCCCTGGCAGTCCAGTGGTTAGGACTCTGAGTTTTCACTGCCGAGGGCGCAGGTTTGATCCCTGGTCGGGGAACTAAGATCCCACAAGCTGCACGGTGCGACCAAAAACTAAAAATAAAAAAAATAGTGACGTTTATATTATGTGACTTAAATCTCATTTTTAAAAAATGGTCCCCAAACCAATTGGGTCGGATTTGGCCCATGAGGCATAGTTTACCAAACCCTGTCCTAGGGCAGAAAGCGAGTCTTGGTCCCTTCTGTTGCCCAAGGCCAGGTATGGTACCTGACACAGAGGGGACACCCAGGAGCAGTGTGCTGAATGAGTTAGTGGGAAGGGTGAACCATCTGAATGCCACTTGCCTGGGAAAACAAGCACCTGCTGACACAGCAGGGCTCACTTCTCAGCATGTCAGCTCTCCACAGCTGCACCTCTGAGGATTATCCTCGTAAACTGTGAGGACAACCTCACCAGGGCCAACACAACCCAACACACTCTGGCCCTGGCTTACTCATTGTATTGGTTTCCTGAGGCTGCTGTAACAAAGTACCACAAACGGGGTGGCTTAAAACGACAGATATTTATTCTCACAGTTCGGAAAGTCTGAAGTTCTAAATCAAGATGTCAGCACCTTGCCCTCTATGAATTCCTGGCCCACAGAAATCGTGAGATAATGACTGTTGTTTGAAGCCATTAAGTTCTGGGGTAACTTGTTCCATAACAGGAGATAACTAGTAAATGAACCTTGTCTGTCTTGTTCACTGCTCCATCTTCGGTACTTAGAAACTGCAAGGGAAAACCAGCTTGGACTACAACCAAGAAGTTTCATTAAGCATCTTTAAAGTTTGAAAGGAACGGATGAAGAGGGCATTTGGGGTTAGCAGATGCAAACTAGTATATATAGAATGGATAAACAACAAGGTCCTACTGTATAGCACAGGGAACTATACTCAATATCCTGTGATAAACCAGAATGAAAAAGAATGTGTGTATACATATATTTGTGTGTGTGTGTGTGTGTGTGTGTGTGTAACTGAATCACTCTGCTGCAGAAATTAACACAATATTGTAAATCCAATATACTTCAATTAAAAAAAAAAGCAAAAGGAAGGAAGAAATGGAAGGAATTCAGTTCACTCCAACACCCTGGGATTTCTCTCCCAGACCTTCTTTCAAAGGGTTGTCCCAGAAAAGAGGAAGGTGAGTGGACCCCAGAACCCCAGGACAAGGCAAAGCAGACTTACTGATCTGTACCACACAGCTGGCTCCCAACTCCGGCCCCACTATGTGGCTCCCGACACACTTGAACTTCTTGCCATCCAACAGCTGGGGCTGGTTCAGCATCTCAACCCCCAGCTTTGATGTCCCCATAACCACACCTCCTGGCTCTTCTGTCCACAGGAGGTCTGGGTCTGGGTATCCTCCGGCCCAGCGACAGCTGAGCTGCAGCGTGAACAGTCCTGGCGACAGCTCTGCCCAGCACTGAGGGGCTGACGGAGGGGGCGCTGCAAAACACCAGAGGACGTGGCCTTAATCACAGACTAAGATGAGCCACTGGGCTGACCCTATGGGTTACAGAACCAGGGTATCAGAGAAACATCAACCCCAGTTAGTGTACTTTGAGATAGCTCCTAGCACAAATTAGTGCCCTACACAAGTTGGGTTTCCTCGGCTGGGTGTTAAATCTTGGAAGAGATTTGCATTTCTCACTAGCCACGTGTGGCTATTTAAATTTTCATTAATTACAAATTTATTTCCTCCATCAGACTACTCACATTTCCTAGTCATCACACATGGTAGCTATTAGACCATACAGAAGAGAACATTTCCATCATCACAGAAAGTTCTACTGGGCGCTACTGGTCCCTAGAGGGAGTTGCAGGAAGGAGAGTTATTCATCCCCAAACCTCAACAAACACTTTTTTTTTGCTATGTGCAAGTACCACTTAGAAGAATATATAAAAATTTAACAAATTACAAACCTGTTGTAACCTATGTGTTCATAATTATATATAAAATGATATATATTATATATGTATGTAGATAGTATATATATTATGTATGTCATATACCTTTATATATTTTATATCATATAAATAGAAATTTGGATCTTAACTTGTAGATATGTGGCATCTAAAAGAAAAATTATTGGAAATATACCAAAATGATGGTTAGAGTACAAGTGATTATTTTCTTCTTTCTTCTCATCTGTTTCCTACAACAAGCACATATGACTTTATATACGATAAATGTCATTTATGATAGACAGCATCGAGACTTACAAAGGCTCTGAATAACGTATAAAGTAAGTGTGTCATTGCCCTGCCTGCTAATTGTCATTCTCATCTCCCTTTGGTTAGCATGGATTAGGAGTGCACCCTGTGTTTATTTCTACAGTGGTTTTCCTCCACTAAATGTGTGCATAGGTGCATTGGGTTGTTGTTTCTTCACCTGAAAAATAAAGATTCATGAACTATTGGTTCTTAACAGCGCTAGAGGGCCTGTGTTCATGGAGAGCGTGACAGCAGATGAATGGATAAACAAATTGTGGTAGAACCATACAATAGATACTCTTAGGCCAAGAAATGAAAGCAAGTACTGACACAAGCTACAACAAGATGAACCTTGAAAACATGATGCTAAGGGAAAGATGCCAGTCCCCAAAGGTCATATAGGGTCTGATTCCATTTATATGACATGTCCAGAAGAGGCAAATGCATAGAGACAGAACATAGACTGGTGGTTGTCAGGGGCTGGGGGAAGAGGGGATGGGAGTGACTGCTTCACGGATATGGGGTTTCCAATTTGGGGTGATGAAAATGTTTTGGAACTAGATAAACGTGATGGTTGCACAACACTGTGGATAGACTCAATGCCACTGAACTGTACATCTTAAAATGGTTAATGTTATGTTATATACTTTCACCTCAATTAAAAAAAAACTTTAGACTTGGCATTAATTCCCCTCTATGACTCACAGGGACTCTCCCGTACTCCTAGTTAGCAGTGAGCTTCCAGAAGAGGCAACACTCTCTTTGACACGCGTACGTGTGTGTCGAGGGAGCTGCAGAAGCATGTTGGAAGCTGTGCATCAGGTAAGTCTTTGTATTCAAAGGGGAGGCACAAACACGCAGTTCACAAAGGGTCAAGGTGAAGGAGTGGGGGAGGGGAGCACTTCTTACGCACAGTAGACCAGGAGCTCGGTGGTCACCTTTCGATGTCTCCCGCCAAGCATGTTTGTGGCCAAACAGCTGTAGTTCCCTTGGAGGTTCTGTGACATCAGAAACAGCTTGAAGCAGCTGGCCGTCAGGTTGTTTCCGAAGGGCTCGGTGCTAGAATCCGGGGCCCGGAACCACCACTCAACCATGGGCGGAGGCCAGGAGCTGCTGCTGCAGCAGAAATCCACCTGGGAGCCCTTGGCCGCATACAGCGTGCCGTTGGGGAGCCTGCCAGTGCTGGAGATGTTGACCTCAACCTGATAGGGGCCTCCTGGGAACGACAGAGCGGGTGGGGAAGGCGTAAGAGTTAACTGGAGCCCCTTACCAGCTCTAAGAGACACAGAGATGATCAGGAAGCAGCCAGTGAGGATGACAATATCAACCACTTATTGTGTGACAAACACTGCCAAGTGCCCTTAGCCATGCTTTAATTTACTCCTGAGCAATTCCGTGAGATTTACTGAGGGGATCAATCCTTACAGAAGATGGAAAATGCAAATCGCCCCTTTTCAAAAACACAGATGAGTGGAAAGGATATCTGTGCCTTAAAGAGTTAATATAGCAGGACTTCCCTGGTGGTCCAGTGGTTAGAATTCTGCACTCTCACTGCCAAGGGTCTGGGTTCAATCCCTGGTTGGGGAACTAAGATCCCACAAAAGAAAAAAGAAGAGTTAACGTAGCAGGCCTGAGTGCTTTCCTTAGAAAGGTCTGCCTGCAAGGTTGGCCTGGGCTGGCAACTAGGAGCTTGGATTTCAGGGGGGTTCCCACCGTTCCCAGAACTGGTAAGAGTGGGGTTCACCAGGCCTTAACTGTTTGTACAAACAGTGTGGCTTATGCTGAACACCTGCTTTCCTTCTGAGAGTCTGGAATTTTGGTATGTGCTAGGCAGAGGATGCCTATGTGACAAGCCCCAGTGAAAACCTAGGGCGCTGGAGTCTCTATCGAGTGTCCCTGGTAGGTATTCCACACGTGTTGCTACAACTTGTTGCTGGAGGAATTAAGCGTGTCCCACGTGACTGCACTGGGAGAGGACTCTTGGGAGCGTGGTCCTCATTGTCCTGTGAGTTCTCCTAGAGAATCAGTGAAGCTGGGGGTGGTCTTGGGGACCCCTGGCACAATTTCACACTGAAAGACAAGAAACATTGGTTCCAGTCCCAAGTTTTAACTCCACTTACTAGCTGTGTGACTTTGGGCAAAGTATTTAACTTCTCTTAAGCCTCCATTTCCTCATCTGTAAAATGGGGGTGATGCTAGAACCCACTTTATGGAGTTGTCATGACAATTAAATGAATTAGTATCATACAGCACTCAGAACAGTGTCAGAAAGGCCGTCCCACGATTGGTACCCAGTGCATCTAAGATCCTCTGTGTTGCCTCCACCAGAGACTTCCTCTTAAGAAGAGTCCAGAAAGGGCAATGCTTGGCCAAAGGGATAAATCTATGACTGAAGAATTTTGGACAAAAATATGCCCAGGGGATAAATTATTAGGGGGAGGAAAGGCTTTGCCAGATCCCCTCAAAGTACAGAAGCTACTTCCACCTATTCTGGGGCCATTGTATAACGATAGAAATTGTGGGTTTCTGAGGAAAATATTCTTGACAATATGCTTGTCTATCAGGGCTGGCTCCTAAGAGTTGCAATGATTTGCTGGAATCACGTCACCTCCCACAGAGGGTCTGGGGAAAAAATTATACTGTAGTTTAGGAGGTGCTCAAATATCCCATTGCCCGTTGCTGACTAGTTGGGTAGGTATGTAGACCAGCAGGTCCTAGGGAGTGCCCACAGCTGGCGAGCACCCAGCCAAGCACAGGGTACCTCTGTGGTATTGGTAGCCACACCTGGGCCAGCAAAGGCACTGTGTTAGATTGGACCACGTGGGTCTTCCAAATTGTGGTCTGGAGGGCCACAGAGGCCTGTCATGAACAGTGAGACCCCCAGAAACTGGCTGGGATGGGGCTTTTTTTTTTTTTTTTTTTGGACTGCGCCACGTGACTTGCGGGATTTTAGTTCCCCAACCAGGTATCAAACCCTCGTCCTTGGCAGTGAAAGCACCGAGTCCTGACCACTGGACCGCCAAGGACTTCCCTGGGAGGGGCTTTTGACCAACACAATGCTGAGCAAAACATGGGTTTGGATAAAGGGAATGGATGAGAACGCTGTAGGCGGAAGGGTTAAAAAAAAAAAAGTCAAATGAGAGAACCTGAAGTGCCTTCTGAATTAAGTGTTCAAAGGTTACAGCTTTTTTATAAACCTTTGGGTTGAGTCTGCTTTCTTAATTAAAGCTGACACCATCTTCTTAAATCCCTGGGGTTCTTCCCTTACTCTGACTAAAAAGAAGGCGGTACCCATTTCCATCCCTCCCACCTCTCTCTCCACCCCGCTGATATTCCTAAACAGAAACCACCAGCCCTTTTTGCTTGCAGGGTGATGGAAGCAATCACTCGGAGAGACAGACAGGTAGGAGAGGAAACAAAAATAAAACAGCAAATAAATAAAAATACAGCGTGTTTACAAAGGTTCAGCATCTTATGGAGGCCTTGGTCATGTCAGTTTCTTGGATGGGTGCCTTAGCCTAGTGGTTATGAACTTGGACTCTGCATTCAGACAGACCTGGGTGTAAATTCTACTGCCACTTCTAGACAGACAACCTTGAGCAAGTGTCCATCCCTCCTATTCTCACCCTCCTGTCCTTCCTATGAAATGAAAAGAACAGGAGTAACTTCTATCACCAGGTTATTGAAGGATCCAATGAGAGAATATAAGCAGAACACTTAGCCTGGTGTTTGACATGTGGTCAATGTTCTATGAATGTTATCTGACATTATTAACAGTAGTATACTTGTAGATTGATTCTAGAACATGCATCGGCAAACGGCCCACTGTCTGCTTTTGTACAGCCTACAAGCTAAGACGGTATGTACAGATGAACATCCACAATCGATTTGATGAGAGAGAACACTAACTTTGAACCCCAACTAAGTGAAATGTTATCCCTCCCCCGCCCAAAGAATCCCATTCTTCTCATTAGTAGGCCTGCACTACCAAAAATTGTACTAGGTTATGGGAATTCCCTGGCAGTCCACTGGTTAGGACTCGGCGCTTTCACTGCAATGGCCTGGGTTCAAACCCTAGTTGGGGAACTAAGATCCTGCATGGCTCATGGTGCGTCCAAAAAAAAAAAAATGTACTCAGTTATTATTATATTTTGAATTTTGTCAACAAAAAAAATGTGGAAATTTGTTTTCTCTCTTGTTATATAAGTACTTATATGATATCCTCGTTTTTACCTGTTGACTCAGAAAGACTAGAATATTTACCGTCTGGCCGCTACAGAAAAAGTTTGATTCCTGTTCTACAACAATCCACTACTGCTGCTGCCTTCCTGTTCTCTGTAGTCATTCTTGACATCAGAACTCACTTCTTTCCTTCCCCACCATAACTATAGGTTAGCCAGTCAAGTGTCTCAAAGAGTTAATTTACATCTCAGGGACCCACAAAATAGGAGATTCCCATCTTTGTATCTTGGGTTCTTTGACAAGACGAAAAGTTATTTTCCTACATTTATTCTTCACACCAGCATTTTTATTTGAAAATGACCTAAGAATGTACTGACTAGCCTCTGCTAACCAGTGGGTGTACCTATTGTTCCACAGTGGGACAAGATCCTTGGGGAAACTTACAGAGTGTTTTGATATCACTTAGAGATGGAACATAAGGAATTCCCTGGTGGTCCAGTGGTTAGGACTCTGCGCTTTCACTGCCGAGGGCGCAGGTTCAATCCCTGGTCAGGGAACTAAGATCCTGCAAGCCGTGTGGCGCAGCCAAAATAAAAAAAAAAAAAAAAAAAAAAGAAGGGGGTTGGAAATAGAGGTGAATATAACAACCCCATTGCCTCCCCACCTCCCTAGTGACCACTGATTCTGTCCAGAAGACCAAAACCCAGAGGTCCTCAGCCTCTTACAAGCATACATCTCTGCTTCAGATGAGCTTGGCAAGACTCAGGTTAATCAATCTTTGGGCAAAGTTCATCCCATCTTCTGACGGGGCCAGCAATTTTTCTTCAGTATGCCCAACATCCCCTTTCCCTAGGACCTTATGTTGTGATAGGGCACAGTGACACCATCACCATCACAGAACGAGTACAAATCAGATGGGCCCAGTTAGTCGGGGAACATGGGGCTTTCCTGAGACTCCCTTTCCTGGAAGTTGGGACTGGCAGCCACATTACTAGCTAAACAGGAGCACTCCCATCCTCCAAACCCCAAATCCAAAGGGGCTCTTGGAGGTTGATACAAACCAGCTTCCTCATTGCCCATGAGCCAACCAACTCAAATGCTCCCTCAACACTTGCTGGGCCTGAGAAAAATAGACACAGGGAGAGTCTGGCATTGTGTGCCACTCAGCTCCCCAGTGGCTAAGGGATCATCTCTTGAAAGAAGCACAAATTCTACCGGAATATGTTAAGGGCTGTGCTACCCACTCCACCCATTCCAGGCTTTCTGCAGGTAAACACACAGTGGTTCTAACCTCGTATCCACCTGACTTGGAGGCAGAAGCGGATGGGTAGGTAAGTCAGTGAAATAAACAGCTGTGGCAATCCTGAACTGCTCTGGACTAAGGGATTTCTGTACCCTCAGAAGCAGCAGTCCCAATCTCAATGGCAAGACTCTTCAACTGCATCATTAACTTAACAAGGAACAGTGCAGAGTTCTTACTCCTGAGATGAATAACAAAGTCACATTGCAGTGCCCATTCCAGACAGGTTGTATCACCCCAGGCCTATAGAAAACCTCACTCCCTAGAAGGCAGAGGCACCAAATGCCCACTGATGGATAAGCAGAGATCCAGGTGGTAAGGAGGGAGAAAGCTCCCAGCCCTCATACAGCCAGCTTCATGTTTCTGCAGCATCTCTGTCCATTCACACATTCAAGGTCACTTACAGTTCTTTGTATATCTTGGATATTAACCCCTTATCAGATATATCATATGCAGCTATCTTCTACCATTCAGTAATTGGCCTTTTTGTTTTGTTGACAGTTTCTTTCACTGTGCAAAAAGCTTTTTAGTTTGATGTAGTCTCATTTGTTTATTTTTGCTCTTGTTTCCCTTGCCTAAGAAGACATATCCAAAAAAAAAAAGTACTAAGGCCGATATCAAAGAGCATATTGCCTATGTTTTCTTCTAGAAGTTTTATGGTTTCAGGTCTCACATTTAAGTCTTTAATGCATACACCTCCATATCAAAATAATAAAGAAGATTAAACAATGGGC